TTCACTTCCACCTAATAACTCCGCAGGATCAGCAGGCAAACACACATGTTCATTACCAAGTCTAATTAGGCTGGCAGACAAGTGGCATTAATCATTTTTGACTGTACCTGGGATTCAAGCCCCCCACACTCCATAATCAGAAAATTTCATGCTCTGATGAATAGTGGGGAAAATTAAGCCCACATTTAATCCTTTCACTTTCATCTTTTGATAAGACAGGAAGCAGGGAGGAGAGGAAAAATGGGCTGCAGCGTGGGGAGCTGAGAAGGCCTCTTTGAAAGCATTCCAGGCTCTTTCCCGGGCCTCTAACACACACATCCTCCAATAGGACCTTACCCAAGAAGACCCCAGTTAGAGTCAGGGGTAGGAGAGGGCTTGGAGTGGGGGATCCCCACAATCTTTAACAACAAAATATCCATTTCTGTGCTTCATTTTCTTAAACTCCAAAGCCAAACATGGGCCTAAATCAAGGAAAATACACACCACACTCTCAGTGCTGCTGGGTGCACAAAGACCTTCCAAATGCCCAAGGTAAATAAATACAGAAGCCACCAGAACAACACAGGACAATTTCCAAGAGGCCTGACATGAAGACCTTTCTCTGCTGCAGGAAGTCAATGAGCATCTGAGGGCTGACACGCAGGTGTTTCCAGCTGTGCAGAAAGTGGGGCTGGACCCAGCCAATAGCGCGGCAGCAAGACGCGAGACCAGACTGGAGGCCCAGGGAGATATCAGCCATTCTCAGCAAGAGCAGGCCCAGTGCCCTGCCCTGAGGGCTTCATGGCAGGGCCTTGCATTCACAGTGTCATTAAAATCTATCACAGAGTGGGGAGGTTAGAAATGACGAGCCCCAGGCAGGGCCTCCCTTTCAACCATGTAATTCCAATCACTTAACACTTCACAGCTCTGAATAATCCCCCTCTGGAGAGAGACTCTGACTCCAGGAGCAGACAGGTGGCATTCACTGACAATGGCCATGGTGTGTCTAAGCACCTCCAGGAGGGTTTGGGTCAGGCTTAGGTTCCTCCAAGTGCCAGACCATCCCCTGGTCCAGCATAGCTCATGTAGCCACCAAAATGAGATGAAAGGTAAAAGGCCACCTCCATGCGCCTTCTACAGGAGGAACAGTAAGGGACAGAATCTGTAAGGAAAAGTCCCTGAGAACAAAGCCAAAGGGCAGCCAGTGAGTTTCTCTGGTTATTTGCTGTTGACCATTCCCTCCTAGAATGCTAGAAATGGATTCTCACCATCACCACCCCCACCCCCACCCCAAAACACACACATGCACTCACACTACCTTTCTTTCTCTCTTTCCACAGGTCCCCACTGGATTTCCTTCTCTATCTAATAACTACGATTTCTTTAATGCTGGAAATTCACATTGACCCTGAACTTCCCTGTTCACAAATCTAGCATTCACCAGAGCTTGGTTACAGATTTTGAAGTAGGGTAAGCTTAGGTTAGATGAACTTTTGCTAAAAAGGTAGACAGACAATGGGAAGAGTGTTTCCAAAATGCTTTCCTTACTAAAAGCCCCTTCTGCCAACATGGTTCCTACCCAGTGTCAGCCTCCTGTGAAGACAGATGTCATTCACAAACCCACTGCCCTTCTGCTTGTTTCCAAGGGCAGGGATATTTAATAGCACAAACAAGCCATGACTCTCATCAGTCACTGCATAGTGAGACCCTGCTCTGTGCCTGGCACTCTGCTGGGTACAAGAAACATAAAGACAAGGAGCCAATGCCTTCATGGCCCCTAAGCCAGGCACAGAAGGGTCTCCTCAGCCACAGCAGGACCTTGGTTAGGAGTGGCATTTCTAGAGAACACCTAATAGCCAAATTTTCTGGGATGCCATGGCAGTCACTTCCCCACTGAGCTCAGCAACCAGGCAGTTTGCAAACTGTTCTCGCAGCTTAGAAAGGTAATCCTAGGAGGTGTCACGAGCCCAGACTAGTTGTTAGAGCTGTTGGATGGGAGGTGACAATAATATTCATATTAAATTAAAGATTTGTATTGCATTTTGCTAGGCCCTGTTCTGAGTGCCTTATGTATATTAATCCATTTAATTCTCACATTAACATGATGAAGTAGGTAATATCATTTTTTTTTTAAACAAGGAATCAGAACACAGAGATGTCCAGAGGTCACATGGGGACTCAGTGGTAGTCAGGATTCAAACCCAGGGTTCTGGTTCCAGTCTATACTCTTCATCCCTGCGTAGTATGGCATTTTAAAAGTCCTCTTTCTGACTGTTGCTTTTCAAAATGAAGACAAACAAAGCAACCCCACCATGGAATCAGACCTTCAACTTAAAGAAAGATGCTCAGCGAGTGTGGCCTGCTGTGACTCCACCTGCCTGCCCTCATCTACACATCAGAACATTTCTCAACTTTTGCCACCCAGCCATAGGTTCACAGTTAGTTAAATATTAATAATGACAAACAGAGACTTCTTTCTGTAACCCTCAATTCCAGTTTGGCTTCCTCTCCAGTGTTCAGACATCGATAGTATTAAACCAACTATGTGGGGGCTGTGAGAACCCAGGAAAGTAAAAAGACCTTGCCAAGTCACACACAAAGTCAGAGGTACTGCCCGGAGGGCCTGGATCTTCCTTTCACTAGAAACGATGTATATGACTTAATCAAAGGAGATCGACGATTCTGATGTGACATGAGAATAAATTCATTTAATTGTGGAGTATCACACACAGACACATGCAAATACACACAAATGCACCATTATCACCAAACCAAAAAAAAAATAATAATAATAACAAAACTGTGCAAAATCTTAGTCCCCCAAAGTCTAAGTACAAACTAGAATTTTGATGAAGCAAATTTCCTGGGATTCCAGCTGTAATAAAAGCCATTGTCGTGAGGCTCCTGCCTCTCTCCCTGTGTGCAGGGTTGTTGGACGCAGTAAGGGAATCTTGAAACTGCAAAAGCTGCGGCACGTCCAAAGGCAAGTTGCATTGGATTCTACTGCAGTCAAAGGCATTTACTGAGGGACAGCAGCCCCTCTACCCACAACGTATACCTCTACACACCTTTGCTCCCTCCTTCTTCATTAGCGCCTGAACTGGGGGTTCCAGTGGAGGAGGAAAGAGCAGCACCCACTTGCCCTTCCAATCTTTCCCTTCCACTTGACCCAGGCTTAGAGTCTGAGCTCTACTTCCCTGCAGCCAGCTGTAGTGGGTGGCACACCGAGCAGCCTTGGCTGCAGACTGCAGGCAGAAGAAAGGTAGGGTTTTCCTGACGTGGAAATCGCTGCTGCTGCCCAACACTGCAGTCGGATGGGAGATGCAAGGCTGCTGTCATGGGGGAAGGGCCTTTGCTGAAAGATGCAAACCACAGTCCATTTCCAGAGATGCTTGTTAGAGGCTGTGCCATTGTCTGTGCTTTGGGCTTCAGATATTTGAAATATCCATGTAAACACATGAACACATGGCTATGGATAGCCTTTGCTAAACACGCAATAGCAAATACCAGGGCGGGGGTGGAGGGTGGACATCTATTAAAGGCATACACGCCCCTAACTGTAGGAGGAGAAAAATAATAAACCCCCAAGAAGACTGAAGATTGGCTCAGAAAATCTATATACTGGGGGCCCCAGTGTTTTCTGGCTTTGAGAAGAGCCTGGCTCAGGAGGTGACTGGAGGACCCTCAGAGCTGGGCAGAGGAAGGGACCCTGTCAGGAGTTGAGTAATGTTAGAGCATGATGACGGGGGCAGGAACCCAGGAGGAGGAGGGGGAGGAGGCAGGGGACAGCCAAACATCGGAGCACAGTCCAAAGGTTTGAGGGGCCAGAGGTGAAAGGCAGACGGGGGCACCAGTTCAGGGTGACCTCAGGCTCTATTCAGCCTCACAGCCTGACTTTATCCAAAGCCTAACTAGGTTTCTTCCCTGTCCCAATAGGTCCCCTTGGAGGAGAGGTCTGAGCTTGTACCATAGGAGGACAAACAAACGTTTGTCATTAACCCTAATAAGCCAGGGTCAACCGCCCATCTTAACAGCAGCCTCACAATCCACTCCCAAGAACTCACAACAAAAGCATGAGGATGCACAGGTAGATGACATAATGACCTTGCCGCCGAGGCCATCACCCCACACCACACAACCTGCGTGCAAGTGTGTGTGTGTGCAAGTGTGTGCGTGTGTGTGTAGGGCTGAGGCACGCACCTGTCAGGAGACAGGTATCTGTTAAATACCACATAACCATACCGAGGCAGTGGGCAGGCGCTAAAGGATACCGGCAAGGGAACTAAGGAGCGAAGTGTTCCCAGAGGTTACCTCCTTATGGTCGGGGCTCTCCTGGAGCCAGAGAGGGTAATGGCCCCTCCCTCCCTGCCCCAGGGCCCTCGCAGTCCTTCGCCCCCAGACTGCGGTGTCCCCGCGCGCCCCTCCCCTGCCCTCACACTTACTAGCGCAGCGCAGCGCCTGCCGCAGCACCTCTCGTCCGCACAGGTCACACCAGCCGGGGCCGACCGGCAGCACCGATTCGGCGAAGCGGTGCCCCTCGCCTCGCTCAGCCGGGACGCGGGGATCCTGAGGCTGCTCGAAGATGCTCCGCACGTCGCGGGGTCGGGGCGCTCCAGGGCGCCGCCGCAGTCTCTGCTGCAGTCCAGGCCGGAGCGGGCGAGCGGGTCGGGAGGCCCGGGGTGGGGGCTCCAGGTTCCCCCCGGCAGCCCTCCGGGCGCTGCGCCCCTCATGCGCCCCAGGCGCAGTGGAGAGGGGCGCCGGGACACAGCGGCGCGAGGACCGGTCGTGGGGCGGCGGCGGCGGCTCCTGGCCGCTCAGGGTCTGCAGATAGCGCGGCGGCTCGGGATCCAAGAGTAACGGGTACGGGCGCTGCCCGACAGCCGGGGACGCCATGGCCATGCCCGGCTGGTGGCTGCGGCTTTGGCAGCTGCGGCTTCGGCAACAGCGCTACTCCCGAGCCAGCCCCGAGAGAAGGGGCGGCCCCACACCAGCGCGCCTTTAAAGGGACCGCAGACCGCTGGGCGGGGCGGGGGCGGGGCGATTGCGAGTGGCAGGAAGGAAGACCCGAGGGAACCCCCGAAGGACAGAGGGATAGGGTAGGTGCGGGGCGACGTCTGCGCGACTGTGGATCTGGGGGCGTCTTCACTGGGATCAGCTGCAGGATTCTGCAGAGGAGCGCCTCGGTACGGTAGAGTTCAAAGGGCGCATTTCTGCTGGGGGCCCTTGGCCTTCAGCCCTGCCTCTTACCCCGGGGATCACTCCCCCCAACACCAGGTCCGCGCGACCCCCCGCACCCCCACGCGCCTCGAGAGGGAGCCGGTAGGAGGAAATGGCTTGGGAACTGGCTGGATGGGGTCGGAGGAGGGCCCCTCCGTCTAGGCATCCGCCCGCCCTGCTCCGCTGATAGCGCCGACTGCGGGCCGTGCTCCTCCGCCCTTCCATTCTCCGCTGGGCGCCGCCCGCTGCCCCATCTAGAGCCGAGCTCCACGCGGATCGGGAATGCCCCGCGCGCGCTCCCGCAGCCGCGCCTGGTCCCATGGCTGGACCGCAGGAAGTCGCCAGCGCAGCTGGGGCTGGCAGAGCTGTCCACGTGCGACTTTCGCTCTGATTGGATTTCCCCTCCCATCGCAGCCCTGCCGGGTAAGGAATTCCTCTTTCCCGGAAGACTGGGGGGAGCCCTGATTGAGAGAACACTCCCGCTCCCCAACGGTTGGGGGAACTTTATCTTCCTTAGCCAACCCTCCACTCCCCACGGCTGCTCGAATAATTACTGTGGAGATACCAGTTCCCCTAAAGGCCCTACTTGGTACCTGGTATGGACGGTTCGCTCGTGGGACCCAAAAAGAGAATTCCTTTCTCCTGGCACTTTGTCCCATGGATTTACTTCCGGGACCCCTGTCTGGCTTAATGCTCTGTGGTCACCATCTTGAAAGTCACTTTTTGAACAAAGGGCTGGACGTTTTCTTGTTGCACTGGTTCCCACAAATTATGTAGTTGCTCCCACAGACAGGCACCTTTGCCCATAGAAACTAGCCCATCTCATGGATAAAGAGGACTCCTGGATCTCTGAACCTGGGATGGGGCCCTTTCTAGCCCCAATTTCCTTAACTGTACATTGGGCTGGAGGTGGGGAGACAGCTGGGTGGTAATGGGGCACTTGCCAGGTCCGTCACTCCGACTCAGTGATCGCAGGTTTCCTTTTAAAACACCGGTTCGGTCTGGTCCGTCTAGCATGGTCACTCTGGAAGAATAATCGAAATTCTTCTGGACCTGGTCTCTCCCTTCCCTTACCAGGCCAGAGATGGGTCTCCCCCTAGTGCTTCCTAGGGGAATCTTCACTTTTGCTTTTTGTTTTTCCCTTGGAGGTAATTCCTAAAATTTCCAGAGTCCAGTGACCAGGGAATTCCCAGCCAGCTTTGCTCCATGTCTTCTCCCTAGTGGTACTCATAGTCCTCTGCCTCCCGAATCTGTAGCAGAGGAAAGGTTCCTGGGGTTCTGGGGCTCACCAGAGGCCGGAGCTCACCCTACGAGGTGGTTTCTGAGGAATGACCCATAGGACAGGTCAACCCCACAGTGCTACCAAACAGGAGCTCCGATGAGGGTTAAGGTGTGTGAGCCACAGGCCACTCCCTCTGCCCCACTCCTCCTCTACCTTTCCTCTTCCCTCTCCTAACCTTGCTTTTGCTACATCAAACCTTGGTATGCATCACAGTCACCTGGATTATTTAAGCCCAATTAAGATTATTGGGCTCCATCCCCAAAGTTTCAGAATCTATAGTTCTGGGGCTGGGGTTTGAGATGGCTCAGTTTTAGCAAGTTCCCAGGTGTCGATGCTATAGATCCAGGGCCTCCACCTGGAAAACCATTGCTCCAGGTCTGAGGTGGTGATAAGAGAATGGGCTTCTCTGTTCCTTCTCCCCAAGGTGAATGTACTTCAGCGGACACCACAGAGAAAAGCCCAATGGGGGCTATTCCTGAATACTTTCTGCTGAAGGTATAAAAGGGAAAATACGATTTGCCTTTGTGTTCTCTTATTTCCATCTCCCACTTTTTCTACAAATACTTCTCTTGGGGTTGTTGCAGAAACCTGTATTCCATATGAATATTTGCTGTGTCCACACTCTGTTACCCATCTCCACACACTTGAGACTCATTCCCTTCTAGGAGTGCAGTAGGTGGGTGAGGTCCTGGGCATGGACCCAGCTTGAGCTCTGAGTGACAGCCTGGTAGGGCAAGAAGCAGCAGAGATCTGACAACAGGTGCATCCTTGGAAGATCGGTTTTGAAATGCCATTTGTGAAATAATTGCTAACAGTCTCCATCTCTGTCCTTCCTGGCAGGCTCAAAGCATGGTTTGGGCAGTCCAGCCCAGATTTCCTGGATAGAGAGACTCATGGGGAGGAGCGTCAGCTCTGGCCATGGGAAACTGAGGACCATCTGGAACCATCAGGCATAAAACTCTTCTCCAGTTGTCTGGGCTATGCAGAAAAATGCTCTGATTTTTGTTTTCCTCTTGCAGCTCTGGTTTGGGAGTGGCAGTGGCTGCTCTCAGCATGAATGTGGGAGGAGATTGTGCAGGGCCAGAGCCCTGCATTTGGCTTCTGGGGTGGGAAAGGAGATGAAAATGAAGATATTAATAATATAATTTCATGTAACCAATCCAAAAAGTTTATTATAAAGTTTATCTTAAGGTTCATCTCCCTGAGCCAAGAAATTAGAGTTGGGGTGGGTAGTTGCCCTCCTCAACCTCAGCATGAGACTCCCTGGCTGGGAGGTGTCTCCTCCGATGCCAGTTTTCCCAGCCCAGTCTCCTTCCTGAAATAGCATTCCCCCCTCCCACAACACACATATAGACTTCTTTCTCACACACACACATGCACCCTACATGAATAGCAACTTACTCCTTCTTCCCCAGGGAAAAAGTGCTAAATAAACTCTGGTTTCATTATAAGGTCAGGACATTGCTGGGGTAGGGTCAGATACCTGGACATTAACATTCTTTGGATCTGTCTGGTCATCCAGGTGACAAGGGTAAGACTGCAGCATCTGCTGAAACGCCTCCACTGGGAGTTTTCCCTCTTGTTAGTAGATCCCCTTGACTCAAACCCATCGACTTTTTTCTGTTTGTGACTCACTCCCAGCAGAGTGGGTGTGCTGCTTTTATTTTTGGCCAAAGGAAAGGATTATGACAGTGAGTTTGGAGTGTGTGGTTAGGGTGTGAGATCACTTAGAGGTGGTCCCAGAGTGTGTTGGTTTTCCCGTTGGGTGAGTTGTTTTATTGCTGTCCCCCAGCCTCCCTCCCCAAGTCCCCTAGTAAGAAGGAAAACGGAAGGACAGAACATGGCCTGACTTCCTGAAGGGGAAGTTTTGGGTTTTGTTTGGCTTTGAGGCATTTGAAGTTGTCTGAAATCCCCGAAGCTTTCAGGGAACTCCCAGGGATTCTGACAGTTGCACAACTGTCTACATGGAATCACTGTAAGAGTCAGGACAAGTTAGGCTATGCCACAGTAAAAAGCGCCACAGCTCAGTGCCCCGAAACAACAGACTCCTTTCTCGCTCACATGACATGCCTTTTGCAGGTTGGCATGGGCTCTCCGCTCATCAGACTCACCATGTCTAATATTCCCAATCACTGTGCCAAAGGGAAATTGAGAGCACCTGGAGGATCCCACGTCAGCATTTATAAGCTCCAGTCACTTTCGCTCACAGCTTATTGGCCAGAACTAGTCATATGACCCCATCCTACAAACAGGAGCAGAAGTACAATTCTACCATGTGCTCAGAGGGGGAAAGAGCTGGAAACAGTTGGCAATCAGCCTTAATGACCAGTGCAATCTTTGAGGGCATAGAGCGGTTATTCATTCATTTAATGAGTAGTTCTTTGATATCCACTATGTATCAAACACTGTTCTAGGCACTAAAGGTGCAACAGTAAATGAATATGTTCATGAAGCTTATATTTAGTGAAACAGCCAGACAATAGATAAACATAAGAGTAATATGATGTCAGGTTGTAAGTACTTTGATGAAAAATAAAGCACATTAAGGGGATGAAGGTGACAGAGGCTGCTCTATGAGACTGAGTAGTCTGGAAAGACCTTTCTAAGGAGCAGACATTTAAACACAGACCTGAATGAAACAAGCCCTTTGTGTTCCAAACTAAGAGAACAACAGGCACAACAAACCCCCAAAACTTTCCAAGTTTTATGAACCTGAGTTTGTTCAAAATGCATATTCTTCTACCTGATCTTCTGATTCAGTATGTCTGGATTTTGGCCTGCATTTTGCAAAAAATTTTGATTCACATGGCTCACAGACCACATTTTGAAAATGAGGTTATAGCAGTGAATAGTTACAATTGTGTGAACCCCCGCCCGGCCCACAGACATTTGAAAAAAATGTGCTTATATTTTTGTTAACTATGAAACACAGGTCTCCAGCGCTGCTTCCTTTCCTTCTTGGCCAGCATGTTGCATGCGGAACTCAGCTTTCCAAAGAAGTGAGTGCTGTTTGCAATGTGTGATGGGGGTCAGTAATACTTTACATTACTAGGCTGAGACAGGGACCATGACAAAATGTTGTGGGAGGATCAAAATGTGTTTGTGAAAGAAATCCCTTGTAAAGTGCTCCATGTTACATGTATTTGCTCAAGAAACATGCATTGAACATTTATTATGTGCCAGGCACTTTTGGCTTGAATGATTTCATCTTCACGGCAGCTCTGTTAAATGGCTGGCATTCCCATTTTACAGATGAGAAAATCAAGGCTGAGAGAAGTCATGTGACTGGCCCAAGGTGTCACAGTCTGGACTCATATCCACTCAGATCCATGAATTTGCCTTTGTCTTGCCCAGCTGGTATAGTAGAAAGGGCAGGGCTCAGAATCTCTGATCTCGCCTTGTAGGTGCAGTTTGAAGAATCAGCAAAATCTTTCTTCAGTTTCCTCTCCCTGTGGAAACCCCACTCTATGCCAAAGGTCTAGTCCAAATACCAGGCCCTCCAGAGCATTCCCAGAATCATCCAGACCTCACTCATGGCTCCTTCCCTGGGATCCCACAAGAAGTCACTTGTGCCTGACATTCAATCATCCTCACGTGAGTTGCAGTTCAATTTGTACGTGTTCGCTTCCCTCACTTCTGTCTTAGCGGTCATTCTGATCCCCTTGTGCAGGGCTAACTGGAGGTGCTCATTAACCTGTGCCTATTCCAGGATGTTTTTCTTCACATCTCTTCAAGCCATGGCCCTTGCACCCAGGGATGGGGAGGTGGAGGAATTGTTTGGTTTGGGGACCATGGAAAGCCCCCAAGGACCTGCTGAGTAGAAGTTGGGGTAGTATTGGGAGCTCCATTTAAGACTCATGTACTTCCTCCAAGATGCTGGTGACTGGGTGAATTTCCTGCCTCCAGATGTTTGTAGCTGGCCAGGGCTGAGGGCTGGTGGGGCACCATCTCCACTCTTGGTGAGACGGGCTTTCTGTGTGTCACCAAACTCTAGTGTTCCCAAGGGGATCTCCTAGGTCCTTGACAGTATTTGGTGGACAAGAAAGGCAGACCAAGGTGGGGACAAAAGCAGGGAGGGATACAAGGGCTCCAGGAAAGGTGTCACCATGTAGAGTGGGGGCAGGTGAGGCTTGTTTACCACTAGTTTTAGTGGCACCTCCTCCATCTACATCTCAATTATAAAATTTTTCCATCCTGAGCCGCTCTGCCAGGCTTATGATAAGACTGTGGGGTGTGTGTGTGTGTGTATGTGTGTGTTTTCTTTCCTCGTTGGAAAAACTCAGATATTCCAGGCAGATTTGTCAGCAATTTTTTTCCCTCAGCCAGGGGGGAGGCTCCAAGCCACGGCCATTTGCATTCCAACACTAAGCCAGCTCTGGGCCCATGGCAGTGGCATGAAGCCATGGACTGCGTTATGACAGACCAGCGAGAGCAGGGTGGCCTGGGTGACCTCATGAGCTCTCCCTGCCCCACCTCGGCCCCCACCTGTCTCCTCCTCTGTATCTCCCTGTCTTGCCACTCTCCTTTCTGCTCCCTCTCCCCGTGCCCTGCTCATCCCCTCTCTCCCTCTCCCTCTCCATTCCTCTTCATTTCCCCCTCCCTCTCTCCTTTCTCACTCCCACCTCTTATCTCACCCCTCCTCCTCTGTCTCTGGTGGAGAATGAAAGGGAAGGAACCCACACGGCTCCAGTGGCAGTCATTCTGAGCTTCCAAGAAACATAAACTGAAGCTACTTCAGGTCAGCCTGGCTCTTTCCTTAACACTTCCCAGGGGGTTGCCTGACTAAGGATCCTTTGTGAGATGGAAGGAAAAGAAGCCAGAACTCCACCCTTTAAAAAATCATCGAAGCATGGCTGGGTGTGGTGGCTCACGCCTGTAATCTCAGCACTTTGGGAGGCCGAGGCAGGCAGATCACCTGAGGTCAGAAATTTGAGACCAGCCTGGCCAAACATGGCAAAAACCCCGTCTCCATTAAAAACACAAAAATTAGCCAGTTGTGGTGGTGGGCACCTGTAGACACAGCTACTCTAGAGGCTGAGGCAGGCGGATCACTTGAACCTGAGGCAGGTGGATCACTTGAACCTGAGGCAGGCGGATCACTTGAGCCTGAGGCAGGCGGATCACTTGAGCCTGAGGCAGGCGGATCACTTGAGCCTGAGGCAGGCGGATCACTTGAACCTGAGGCAGGCGGATCACTTGAACCTGAGGCAGGCGGATCACTTGAGCCTGAGGCAGGCAGATCACATGAACCTGAGGCAGGGGGATCACTTGAACCTGAGGCAGGCGGATCACATGAACCTGAGGCAGGCGGATCACTTGAACCTGAGGCAGGCGGATCACTTGAACCTGAGGCAGGCGGATCACTTGAACCTGAGGCAGGCGGATCACTTGAACCTGAGGCAGGTGGATCACTTGAACCTGGGAGGTGGTTGCAGGGCGCCGAGATCACGGCATTGCACTCCAGCCTGGGAAACAGAGTGGGACTCCGTCTCAAATAAATAAATATAGATATAAATAAAAAATCAATGAAGCAGTTTGGAAGTGAATCCAAAATGACCAGTTGCAGCAATCCTTTGAGGATACTGAAGCGAGGTGGCTCCATGAAAGCAAATGGCGGTCCCAGTGGGAGGGTGGCCAGGCCATGGTTGAGATCCATCCTGTCCTTAGACTGGCTCCCCCGGGCTCAGCTCTCAGGGTGGGTGTGGGGTGGGGTGCCTGGTCCAGTGTATCACCCACTGCCAACTGGCCTCTGTTGGGGCATTCACATGCCCTCTGTGGGATCTTTGTAAACTCTGCCTCAGTGTTCTCAAACTTGAACTGGTGTGAGACTCACCAGGGCAGCTCCTTGGTAATGCAGATTCCTGGGCCACACCCTTACCAACTCAGGAGCTGAGTGGGGTCCCAGAATATGTGTTTTGAAGCCAGGACACCAGTCTCAAAAGAGGAAACTGTGGATTCTGGGAGAGAGAGCGCGAGCCCTGCGCACCAGGCCCTCCGGAGCTGACGACTTCCAGCCTGGGTTCCTGGGGCAGGCCCCTCGTCCTTCCAGTTAGGTCCCTTTTCACTTGGATCTGCCTGCTTTCAGAGGCTGCTAGCCATGAATCTGAATGCCACGTGGAATCTTCCCAGATATCTGTGACTGATCGGAGCCCCTGACATGTCTCGTCTGAGACAAGAACTTCTGTTTCCTCTATCTACACAGTGCAGGCACAGCTAAATGAGGTGGGGAGGGGGTGGGGAAAGTGAGCAGAGTGTGCAGAGAGCTATCGTGTTAATAATGTTGTGTTTAAGGCAATTTTTGCACATAGCTAATCTATTCCTCCCCATAACTGTTCACTCACCACAGGGCGCCAAAGAGTAATACCTTTAAAATACCAGTTGGACTTGACCTAAAGCCCGTCTGTGGTTCCCTGGGGTAGAGCCCAAGTTCCTTAGTGTGGCCTGCAAGGACCTTTTGGGCCGGCTCCTCCCTTTCCACAATACCAGCTTCCTACTTTAACCTACTCTCCAGTAACAAAGAAATGCCTGTAGCTCTTCCCGCCCTTGTGTTGCTGCGGCTCCTACAGCCAGGAATGCCTCCCAAGTCTTCTTTGCTATGTATCATCTGCTAAGACTCCACTTTGGAGTCACCTGCTCTCATTCATTCCCTGACACCTTCTGAGCCTGCCCTAAGCACCTTCCCCTGTGAGGAGGGTGGCTTAGTGCCACACTTGAGGTTTGCATTCCTATCCTAGCACCTCCTCCGTGATGGGGAGTCATCTGTGGCATGCCTGTCTTCCCCCATAGAGGCAAGCTCCCCATGAGCCAGAAAGGTGGCTTACTCATCTCTGTAATTCCCGCACCCCATGGACCTGGCACACTGTAAGGGCTCAGTTCACGTCTGATGAACCGAATGAGCTCTTTTCATTTTAAGTGTTATGTTAGGAATCACTGCAGAGAATGGAGAAGTATATTTAAGAGGTCTTCAGACACCTGAAGATCTTATGGGTCATTCTGGGCCATAGTCCAGTCCCTCGCTTTCTACTGAGGTAGAACCAGCAGCTCTGCAGAACCTCAGATCCGGGGAGGCATCGGTGTCAGCAGCTCTGCTTTGTGTAGAAACGAACTGGAGCCACTGGGTGCAGTGGCTCACGCCTGTAATCCTAGCACTTTGGGAGGCCAAGGAAGAAGGATCACTTGAACTCAGGAGTTCAACATCAGCTTGGGCAGCATAGTGAGACCTCATCTCTACAAAAAATATAAAATTAGCTGGGTATGGTGGTACATGCCTATAGTCCCAGCTACTTGGGAGGCTGAGGCAGGAGGATTACTTGGTCATACAGTGAGCAGTCACGACAGTGAGCCCACAACCTGGGCAACAAAGCAAAACCTTGTTTTCCAAAAAGAAAAGAATAAAAAAAACCTGAACTGAAGTCTTTGCGTGAGTTTGTCCGCCACATCTCGTGGGCTTTGCTCATGAAATCACCCAGCCTGGATCATATCATCTCCCAGAAATCTGCATTTGGCGTTCATGGATTCCTGGCGCTTTCACTGAGCTCCACCAAGCACGTAGGGTCCAGAGCAGCTGCTGTTGCCAGGGAAAACCCATTGTGGGACTTCCCTGAAGGGCCACTCATGGGCCGGAAGTGTTGGCCAGAAATTCAGGCCAGCAGAGTGGACGAGAGGCGGTCTAGTACCCAGGAACATCAGGGCTGCAGCAGGTCTCTGAGGCCTCAGGACGTGAACGCATGGGCTTAAGTGACTCCATGGGCCTGAGGCCCAAATAGCAAACATGAAGCCACTTAGGCCTGACGCAAGGAAACAACCTCCAGCCACCTCCCCCCTGGGCCTTGAGAGTGCTGGTCCTTCCACAGAGAAGCAGCACAGAGGACATCAGCCTTCCTCGTTTCTGACCCCTCCAGGTCAGTAGAGCGGCCTCAGGATGTGGGGGCTCCCATGAAGATGGGCAGAAAGGATCTCTGGGGTTATCTTTGGTCAAGCATAATGCTATCTTCATGCCTCAAAACACAGAGTGGGACTTCCCCACTCATCCTGCTCTCCTACTGGGGCTACCTTACTACGTTTCTCCTTCCCTTTCCTTCACTCACCCAGGCAGGTGGGTCATCCAGCTCTGGTTTTGGGAAGGCGGGAGGTAAATTTGCAAGCAGTTTGCAAAAATCAGAATGCCTTG